TCACAGATACTTCAGATATAACACGTGGACAAAATGCCACCCGAAACAAGGAGCCACACCCGTCTAACTACCCGGCAATAGATACACCCAAAAGGGCAACAAAACAAGAAGAAAATGGTCTTAACTATGTGTCTTCTCGGTCTCTGCTAACTGAAATTTCAAAATTGATTTGTTGCACACAAATCGATGTGAAAGTAATTACATGGTGTATGTTTCGAATATTAGTTTTCCAACTTTATCGTAGCGACTGTCGTAACGAAATATTGATATGTTGATACTGCTCATTAAGCGTGCCTTGATTATTGATACACTAGCTTAACTCGAGGACAACGACGGAGTCTTGCCAATCGCGAACCTGTTGAGATTATCCAAGTAACGGCGGTGGGTGTGTTGTGGCGAATGTTCGCCTGACAGATGAGGTTGTGTTGCCATGTAGACCGAGAACACTGGAGGAGCATGGCGATTTGACATGGACCAAGCCTTGCTATGGTGCTGTGTAGGTGAATATTGTGAATGAGGGTTCAAATATATCTTTAAAAACTTTTTTAGTCGGTCCCACTTTTTTTATCTGTCTCACAAGGAAGAGTGAGTGAGTGAGTGAGTGAGTGAGTGAGTGAGTGAGTTGATAATCCCATGGTTGAGTGAGTGAGTTGATCAATGTGTTGATGAGTGAGTAATTGAGTGGGTGTGTGGGTGGTATTTTAGACAGTTGCAGCAGATTCAGTATTACAACCATAGTCAATTAAAATCATGGTATTCTTTTGTAAATGTTCAGACGTTCTAAGTTGTAATTGTCGTCTAGGCGAGGGTGGGACATCAGTGACCAGGTCAGAATAATCCCCCAGGAGCGCACTTTTCATACACAGCAGTCAGCTTGGCCATCTGATTTAAGTCACTTTCAAAGTTAAGCCTGCAATCTCATTCAAACCACACCCCGGTATCCCTCCGCCTTCAAAATGAAGGATGCTTTGATGCCATTGCCAATCAGAATGATTTCGACTTTCTGAAACGATTCGGCGTGAAATGTTTTCGGTCCGAGTTTCGGGAATTTCAGTCTCAACGATAAACTAAACAAAATTCCCTTGACACTACAAGTACATCATTTTGGGTGCAAGACATGACGCTCAGAAACAAGAAGATGTAAATATCCACAACATACCACAGCCACTGTTTTCATTCGGAACTGCCTGCTTACGTTCTTTTTCGGGAAACCCTGTTTAGTTGCTCGAATCGAGAATGAACATCCACGCTGAATGGCTGATTAGGCATTTCGTCTGACATGACCTCAAAGGAGAGTTTGGCAGATCGACTGATATAGTCACCTAGAGTCATTTAATCGAAGTAAAAGATTTGATTTTCATGATATTGGACAAGCATTGGGCACTGGGGACCACCGTCGCCACGGGGGGTGTACACGCTATCACTGTGTTGATAGATTGACAAGGCCAATAAATTCGAAGTGATATCAGTCCCCATAAACAAGACGAACAAAAGGATTTACACAATGCTATCGACGCCCCAATGCAATAGACACCACACAAAACAAATCCAGGTCTTCACAACAGCAATCATACTCACAGCTGGGTACTGATTACATAGATAACACATGTTTAAAGAAGTTTGTTTGTTCCTTTGTTGTTTAACGCCGCACTTCAGCTATATGACGGCGGTCTGTAAATAATCGAGTCTGGACCATACAATCCAGTGATTGACATCACGAGCGTCGATCTACGCACTTTGGATATGGTGATATGCATCAACCAACTCAGCGAGCCTGACCACCCGATCCCGTTTGTCGCCTCTTACGGCAAGCATAGTCGCCTATTGCGGCAAGCATGGGTTGCTGAAGACCTATTCTACCCCGGATCTTCACGGGGAGACAAGCATGGGTTGCTGAAGACCTGTTCTAACCCGGATCTTTACGGGGAGACAAGCATGGGTTGCTGAAGACCTATTCTACCCCGGATCTTCACGGGGGACAAGCATGGGTCGCTGAAGACCTATTCTATCCCGAATCTTCACGGGAGACAAGCATGGGTTGCTGAAGACCTATTCTACCCCGGATCTTCACGGGTCGTTGAAAAAGGTAAACCGTACCTTTGGAAGTCTCACTTAACGTGTGTGGAAATGAAATGCTAGCTATTGTGGGGGTTCCTCGGTAGGAAAGTCCCGATGTTCACATGTACTTGTCGCCAGAGCAGACTTACATATGCATCAGTTGGTGACAGTCCGATGTCTGGTTGTATAACAACGTACTTCGCTTGTTGTTCATGCTGTCAACCATTGATTTATCTGGTCCAAGGTGCTGGTGTAGATATAACTGACTTCTGAAAAAGTGTTTCCAGTCTTTGTTGTGGTCTTTGTCAGTCCCAGGTTCGATTCCCCTCATTGGGTTAACGCGTGAAGCCCATTCCCGTGTCCCCCGCCGTAATATTGCTGGAAAATTCCTACAAGTGGCGTAAAACCTTAGTCACTCACTCACTATATCAGTTTAAAAACGGCCGGGTAAAGGAAGTATACAACCATTTTTTATGGTGGCTGTAACTGAATGATGATTCGCCTCTGTGGTCTACTGGTAGAGCGTCCGCCCGGAGAGCGGAAGGTCGGGGGTTCGATCCCCGGCCGCGTTATACCAAGGACGTTATAAGATTGTACTTGTTGTTACCCCTCCGATGCTCGGCATTATGGGGCTAAAACAAATACTAGTCGGTTCGGATTCAGTACACTCTGTCAGAGTGGGGTATTCATGTTTAACTTCCGCATGGTATCTCGGTGGGCTAGCACCATAGGACAAGCAGCCACACACACACACACATGTGCATGCACGTCACTATATAAGTACAGTAGTCTTGGAGGCGACGTTAAACCCCATTCCCCCCTCACCTTACTGGATGGTGATGTATTTGATACGGGTAATTGCTGAGTTTCGGCGTCTGTTTTCAGCCTGGTAACATTTCGATTACGTTTGTAAGTTTGGTCAATTCCAAATTTAAGTGTATACTTTCTTTTTTCCCGGCAGTTTACATAACTGATTTACTAGCCGAAGCGTTAAATCGCACACCACTCAGTCAATCGCTTACCGGTTTTGCACACGTAAGAAGATACGACGATAACTTTTGAGACGCTCATCAATAATTTAAACAAATTGATCCGTACTTTGCGCAGTGATGCGTTACTATCGACATGGTTTCCAAGGAGGGCTGCAGCTCAGTGCAGATGTGTATGTCGGTCTCGGGGAAAGTTACAGCACTGTTGCAGCCTCTGACCAATGCAGGACAAGGGTAGATTCTGAGACGACCACAGTGTAACGGGGGTAGACACGGGCTGACGTATCATCATATTTTGTAGTTGATATTGCTGGCTGACACGTATTCTGTTCTGTTATGTTATCGATCGCAGATGGGTGTATGTGTGTGGTGTGACCTTATGTTGGAACATCTGTAGGTTACGTGGTTTGGGCTTTGCTATAGTACACTCTAATTCACACTCACTCTCGCCACAACTAGCTGTGCAGAGTTGTGTCCCTTGGGCACGCCAGAAAAATAGTATGATCGTGGGTTCGAATCCCGGTTCGGCCTGACTGTGTTTGTAGATCTGTCAGCACTATAAAAGTGCTCTTGTCTTTTAAAGCGGCGTTAAACCGTTAACTCACTCACTTACTCACTCTCGTTAACTTTATTCAACCCCTCTCACCCACACAGCAATTCACTCACTCTGAAAGATTTGCTGCATATAAAGTGTTACATATTCCTGTATATCCACGGCCTTTGTTTTTTATAAGTTTTAGCCCCAGCATAGATGAAATCTTGAAAGTGTGCCCCCGCTTCTAAATTCCGGAACACGAAAGTATTAGTCGTCAAAAGCGCTGCTGAGTTGCGCCCCTTAGTTGTGTCACGATCCTATGATCGTGTGTTCGAATCCCGGTCCATTGTCATTGGTTTGTTTCTACCATACACGTGCTCTGGGTTTCATCAAAGGGGTTACCAGGGTCTTTCTCATTAAACCAGTACTGTTCAAACTGGCGTTAAACCCAGCTCACTCACTGAATTACTTTTCTAAACCATACGTGTGTAATATAGTGACTAAGTACATGTCACCTTCACAAATAATAACATCATTGTAACAGGATCGGTCTTCCATATTTTCCCAACATATTATCAGTGTATACTTGTCACACTGGTAGGTAACCCATATATCTACAGGGGCACGCGTTAGCCAATCCTTTAAAGCGCTGCAATTTGCTGTGTAGAGTTCCCTCCCTTCGCCATGCCAGGATCCACTTATTGTATTCGATTCGCCAACACGATCTTTGATCTGTCAGCACCATATGAGTCTAAAGACATGAAACGTTTTTTGAGAACAACTTCTTTATTTTTTGTAAGGACGATTCAGGGCTACCTCTTCCCCTTCATCAGATGCATGAGTTCTCCTAAATTTGAACCGAAATAATACTGAAACTGCAACACCGTTTAACAACTCAGAAATTTAAACACTTAGGTTTGTGTGTCCACAAGGGCAATGCCGGTTGACGTAGGTGTTGCATATTTGCTACCCCTACCTGACCAGATAACATGTGCCCATGTATTTCATTACGTCGTTGCTATAACAGTGAGTGAGTGAGTGAGTGAGTTGAGTTGCGCTTTTAACAGTATTCTAGTTATATCACGGCGTGTCAGCTTAATGTGGGAGGAAAGCCCGAAGTGATGCAGGTCTCAGACGTTTACCACTTCGGTGAAACCCACGAGCACGGGTATGGTGATGACAAACCTAGAAACATAATCAGGACGAACCGGGATTCGAACCCACAATCATAGGTTTCTGGCGTGCCCAAGGGACGCAACTCTGCACAGCGAATCTCGGCGCCTTAGACAAACTGGGCCCCCCGTGCCCCCCATTGTTATAAATGTGCATAGTGCTGTGGTACTCGACTGCACCACATGGACATGCTCGTGTGCTTTATGGTTTTACGACAATTAATCAACGCGTCTGTCTACTTGAATTCTACCGCAGATCCGAACCAAAGCCCAATCAACGCTACCTGTTTCCAATTGAGTATCCAATCATACCCGGACCTTTCTATTATTGTTGTTTACATTTGTTCAGTCGGGCGTCTCACAACGACAACAGCAGCCAAACGCACCTCAGGATTCAACGTTGCTCGCATCTTAATGGAATGACTGAGCCGAAGGATAGATCGATCGCCGCGAGTTAAGATCAACACCGACATTGTACGGTAACTAAGGTGCAAACTCGGGGAGGTCGTGTTTATGTTGTGGATTTATTTGCCGTTTAGGGAACGTTCACTTACTCAAACTTGGCCAGAACAGCCCAGGTCGACATATAAAAGCTTAAAAGTCTTCAGCGTCAAACTTTAACGTTCTCATTCAGCCCGTGAGTAGTCAAATATCACAGATTGCCCGATAACCGTACCGACGGGATTAACCCCTGTCGGGCTCACTGACTTAGGACTCATGGAATGCCGGGAGGGCCTGAGAGGGAGATTGAGTCCCAGTCATTTCAGGACAAGTGGTGGACGACTTTTGTTTGGAGAGTGAGAGGAACTGCTGAAATCCCGAGTGGAAAGTATTTACCTTGATACCCCGAATAGTGTATAAGTGCGACGTGTTCAAGTGAGGGAGGAGATTCTTTCACGATTAGAAATAAGAGATGTATGGAGATAAACGTCCATCAACGGAGACTGATCGACTGTTGTTGTGACGAGCAGCAGACGACATGTTTAGAAGCAGGTGCACGAAGTAGTCGTAGTGAAGAATGGAAGAACGTTGCAGAGACACGTTTAGTCATACAGTTTGACATCGGAAGCAGACGACTAGATCCCAATTGACCGACGCATCCAGTCCCTTCCAGAACATCGCACATGTATTTGTACGCCGCATCCGAGGCAGACGACTAGAGATCAAAGTATATTGGTTCTCTCAGTGAAATAGTCCCGATTCTGTCTTCTTACTCGAGTTTGACGTTGTTCATGTTGAAGATGTATGTGCCTATATGCCAGTTCCGGCATCTCAAGGAAGTAACACAACCACGCTTGCCCCAGGGGGCTCTCTCACAAAGGTATGTCTTTTATCAACATGAAATAACACACAAACATCCGGGCAAAATAATGTAAATTACTGTGTACTGTGTGAGTGAGTGAGTGAGTGTGGTTTTACGCCGATTTTAGCGATATCCCAGCAATATCACGGCGGGGGCCACCGGAAATGGGCTTCACACATATGTGGGGAATCGAACCCGGTCTTCGGCGTGACGAGCTAACGCTTTAACCACCAGGCTACCCCACAGTCTCTTATGGTGTACCGTGAAACTGCGACCCCCATGTTCCTTGAGACGTCGTGTGCACGTCATCTGTTGTGAGATACTCATTGATATGTTGCGTGTAATATCACCATATCAAAAACATCGCCATCGAATAACCATTTCTTGTTTGTTTCATTTCTAGCCAATGGCTATTCGATGGAGACCGCCTCCATGGTCTAGTGGTAGAGCGCCCGCCCGGAGAGCGGAAGGTCCGGGGTTCGATCCCCGACCGCGTCATACCTAAAGACGTTAAAAGATGGTACTTGTTGTTACCCTGTCTGGCGCTCGGCATTAAGGGGCTAAAACAAGGACTGGTCGGCTCGGAGTCAGTATACTGTGTCTTAGTGGGGTATTCATGTTAAACTGCGGCATGGTATCTCAGTGAGCTAGCACTATAAATCGGCATCAGTCCGGACTAGTACAAGCAGCCACACAAACACACACACGTACATGCACGTCGCTATATAAGTGCAATAATCTTGGACGCGACGTTAAACCCCATTTCACCTCACCTCACCTCACCTATTCGATGGTGTCACAGTTGTGTTTGGACCTTAAGTTTGTGTTGTTTCGGCGACTGTTTTCAGACTTATAACGTTTTGATAACGTGTGTAAAGTGTTGGTCAATTGGTCAATGTGTTGGTCAAGTGTATCTTTTGGCATGGCAGTTTATATAGGAGTGTCCGTTATAGCACGGATCTGTTGGTCCGACAGTCTGGTCACCGTTCAGTCGGCGCGATCACCTATCCAGTTGTCTATACATGTGGTCAGGTTGGCCGTTGTTCTTGGTTCCCTATGCCTATAATGCGTAACATGTGCTGTTACAAGGAGTCTTGGAAAACTACAGCGCACAACACAATACAGCGCACAACACATTACAAACATACAACTGGACCAACACACTGCCAAACGCAGAACAACCCAACGATCGCAACACTAAATAAATAACAAAACGCACCAACACAACACAACATTATATGCACAACACAACTTAATATTAAGTTAAAATAAACGTTGGTGTCATAAGCTTAAATCTATAATGAGGGATATTTATACATACCCACACATTCCCCCCAAAAAACAACAACAACAAAGCAACAACCCCCCAAACAACAACAACAACAACAAAAACACAAAAACAAACAAACCAATAAATAAAAAAATACACCCCCCAAAATAAACAAACAAACAACAACCTGCGGCGGCAAGTGTAATTCCATGCAAATCAATGAACAACAAAAATATAAAAGGAAAAATAATAGTTTTTATACGTTTCAACTACTGATATAACATTAAGTCTAAAAATTTACACAATTTGTATTCCCCAAACTACATATACATTGAGAGTCACTGTAGGCATTTGGAAGTTGGATGTAAACGTGAATGAGTAATCTTATGGACAACAACAGCTTTATTTCCCTGAAACGTTGTGTATGTATAAAATACTAATAACAGATAACATATTATATATAATATCAGTAGTTATATACCTAATACTACTCCATGTCATATGTATACATTGTCGTTGTCATGGTGAATAACTTTCACATTTTCCCGTAGTCACTGGTAACCCGAATGCACTGTAATATTGATGTTCCATTTTTTTTATCTTAAGAAAAGAAAATCTATAAATCATTATCAACGTTTTCACTGTATACCCACGACACCTTCAAGCATGTTTTATAGATTTCTATTTCTCTCGAGACTCGTATATTTCATCGAGTAAACTATAACTATGGAATCCAAGAAGGGACATTGTCTCGTAGTCGGGCTTTGGTTAATTTTGTCTCTTCTTGCTTGTTTTTGTAAGAGCGACAAAGCGACAAAACGATAACGCGACAATGTCCCGTCTAGGATTCCATAGTTAACTGTTTACGACATGGGAAAATGCTCTCGCACCTAGCGACTTTTGAAACTGCTGTGATAGGTTAGGTCAGCCGAACGTGTTCGATTCACTGCTACAGATAAGCAAACACTCATTAACAGGTTAATAATACACTCCTATACAGGCAGTATACATCGTAATGGCAGGTGGACACATGCCGGGCGTGCTGGACTGTATATGAGCTACACGGGTGGGGGACTGCTTGGTGGACAATGCAAGTGTTGACGGTCATATAACCGACGCTTACTTTGGACTCTCGTCTTAAGTAGTTCTGTATGAATGACCCGACTCAGCAGTTTGAGTGTTTAGATAAGCATGTCTGTCACCAGAACATTAATGATATTCGATTAAAACATGAAATATGGGTGTTTCCCCGAGGCGTCATGATTTGGTCGTGGCGCATCAGAGGTGAGAGATAGGAGGGATAGTTATGTTCGTTGAGTAAAATTTTGTAAGTTTGACCGAGTCTATTAATCTGTTATTTGGTCATTGTTATTAGTGTTTGAGCTGTTATTAGGCTATGTACAAGTACGGCTTGAAGTTAAAGTTGAGCTGATGTTAGGCTATGTACAAGTACGGCTTGAAGTTAAAGTTGAGCTATTGTTAGGCTATGTACAAGTACGGCTTAAAGTTAAAGTTGGTGTTTGAGCTGTGGTTGGTGTACTATATTAACCAATATTCCACAGTACATTGTAACATGTAGCCTTGCTTGGTATGGTGTACTGTATTACCCAATACATCACAGTACATTGTAACATGTTGTCTTGCCTGGTATGGTGTACTGTATTACCCAATACATCACAGTACATTGTAACATGTAGCCTTGCTTGGTATGGTGTACTGTATTACCCAATACATCACAGTACATTGTAACATGTAGCCTTGCTTGGTATGGTGTACTGTATTACCCAATACATCACAGTACATTGTAACATGTTGTCTTGCCTGGTATGGTGTACTGTATTAGACTAATACATCACAGTACATTGTAACATGTAGCCTTGCTTGGTATGGTGTACTGTATTACCCAATACATCACAGTACATTGTAACATGTTGTCTTGCCTGGTATGGTGTACTGTATTAGACCAATACATCACAGTACATTGTAACATGTTGCCTTGCCTGGTATGGTGTACTGTATTAGACCAATACATCACAGTACATTGTAACATGTTGCCTTGCCTGGTATGGTGTACTGTATTAGACCAATACATCACAGTACATTGTAACATGTTGTCTTGCCTGGTATGGTGTACTGTATTACCCAATACATCACAGTACATTGTAACATGTAGCCTTGCCTGGTATGGTGTACTCTATTACCCAATACATCACAGTACATTGTCACATCACATGTAGCCTTGACTGGTATGGTATACTATTTCACAGTACATTAATTATATGGCTTTTGCTTGCAGATACCCGATATCCGACAATGCATAACATGTCAAAGCACCCCCACATTGTCGCCACATTATATTTTTAGAATTTCAGTACTATTAATTGCACGTGTCTTCGTTAAACATACATTTGATAAAAGGTGTGTATTTAGAGCATACAATGGTTGCGGTGTTGTCAATAACGTTCTTATCTGTAGTGTAACGGATCTGTATCGAGTGTGGATACTTCTTACGTAGATTGCTGCGTCAAACAATGCCCTTGTTTAATTTGTTGTAATTTGGATACCGTCAAGCGTCTCATGTATTGCGAGGTATTATATTCCACACTGGGAGGTAGTTTTTATCCTTTCGTAATGACATCGCATCAACTTTTATCACATTACCGATGCATAAGTTATTCCTCTGTCACTTGACTCGTAGTCGTATTCTGAGATTGAAGCATGTGTGTGCCTACTTACGAAGTCACGTATAAAACATCTCATATAATTCAATTTTTGTCATTCAATACTCACCCCAATACCCACCCAACCCGCATCCAACTATCTCAGTCAATAACTTATTGAACCATCTTACTCCACTCAAACAACTTAATTAAGTACCTTGTCTGATTAACTTACTCAAGTACCTTGTCTGATTAACTTACTCAAGTACCTTGTCTGATTAACTTACTCAAGTGCCTTGTCTGATTAACTCACTCAAGTACCTTGTCTGATTAACTTACTCAAGTGCCTTGTCTGATTAACTTACTCAAGTACCTTGTCTGATTAACTTACTCAAGTACCTTGTCTGATTAACTTACTCAAGTGCCTTGTCTGATTAACTTACTCAAGTACCTTGTCTGATTAACTTACTCAAGTACCTTGTCTGATAAAACTTACTCAAGTATCTTGTCTGAGTAACTTACTCAAGTATCTTGTCTGAGTAACTTAACAAGTACCTTGTCTGATTAACTTACTCAAGTACCTTGTCTGAGTAACTTAACAAGTACCTTGTTCAGTTCAGTTCAATTCAGTCATTGATCACCAACCAACCTCACCCATCCACCCTATTCACTGATCACCAACCTCACCCATCCACCCTACTCATTGATAAACAACCTCACCCGTCCACCCTACTCATTGATCACCGACCTCACCCATCCACCCTATTCAATGATCACCAACCTCACCCATCCACCCTATTCAATGATCACCAACCTCACCCATCCACCCTATTCAATGATCACCAACCTCACCCATCCACCCTACTCATTGATAAACAACCTCACCCGTCCACCCTACTCATTGATCACCGACCTCACCCTTCCACCTCGCCATTGACCCATCACACAAACTCATCCAGTCCGATATTCACATATTTACCCGCTCCACTCGCGCCCGTCCACGCACGGGCGTGTTCTCCAAGCTTAAACCTTTTGCTCTGAGCACTGACTTCTATACATCTGATTTTAATCATTTTTTTAAATGTTCCTAACACAACTTGATGTGCTTGAGAAACACGCTAACTTAATTCATGATTAAACTAAATCATTGATATTGTCTTCAGACCGGGGTGTCTTATCACTCTCATACATCAGATATCTCGAGGAATCGTTAATGGAAAGTTAATGATCACCAACCTCACCCATCCACCATTCTCACTGATCTGTTCCCGTGAGTCGTGTTCGGATGGCCCAGTGGGCACAGCACCAGGGGATGTGACACCGCAGATTCGAACCCCACCCGTGCTTACAGTAGGATGGTCACGGGGTCATTCTTTCCAGTAACCTTTCGATGTCATAAACCGGATACATGTATTTCATGTCCATCAGTATGGTCACGATCGTGTTGCAAGTCTTCTCGTATTCGGAATATAAATGAGGTGTCGCAGTTCAAAATACCACAGAAACACTCGACTGTACAAAAAATATATTTCGAAGTGGTATAAAGCGAAATATATATATATATATGCACACACACATACCTAATCATCACGTGACCAACATTTTGTTTTGAACTGCAACAACTGCAACATCTCATTTGTATTATACTTCGAAAAAGCATATATATATTGGCTATTTCGAAGCTTCCCTCGTGTCCCTGGGATTACAATGACACAATGCCACCACAATATATCGCGAACAAAAGGCTATAGCAAGGGCTATATAGTAAATTCGATTAAGCGGAGTGGTATAAAACGATCGGATATAACGAAATCAATTCTAACCCCATGAAATTATAAGCAACCTTATCATCCAAGCGGAATGAAATTAAATTTCGAATACAAATGCGTTTTAAAATCCCTACATGAGCCCATACAAGGTTGCACGTTACTCTACAATGTACAAACACCATGTTGTGAAGCTGCTGTACGCTTCTATAGTATACCCCCACCAAGTCTCACTCACCTTAACCAGGGATTCAACCCACTTGTGAGAGGTATTAGTCGGAATAAGTCAGTCAGTGACGTGTATCTTATGGGATTACTTCAGCTTATCAATGTTGTCTGGTGTGAAATTATCCACTCGACTCGATACATGCCGTTTGACAAGGCAAGTAATACACAGTATTATGGGGGCCTAATGTTTCAAAGTTATTATCAACTATGGCCGATATGAAGCTATTACGCTATAAATTATAATCGAGATGAAAAGGTATAAAATTTCAGGTATTTGAATGTGATTGATTTCATTATAAAACTAAAGCTCGTAAGAATGTTTACGAATTACACTTTCCTTAAAATATATTGGTTTAAAGATGAATTACTAAATGCCCAATCATCTGAGTCCAGATACTTTTTGTGTTCTATGTTCTTTAAGCATGTCCACGCGACTCTTCTTTCCTTCAAGCATGGCCAAACACTCTTCCATCTTTTAGCATGGTCAAACACTCTTCCGTCTCCAAGTATGGCCACACACTTCCTTTTTAGCATTGCAAAACATTTCCATTTTTAAGTATGACTAAACATTTCCCTTTTTAGCATGGCCAAACGCCCTTCCTTATTTACGTATTGCTAGACACCCGTCCTTCTGTAGGTATGGTCTCTTCCTTCAATGTAGTTAGACTCTCCTTGCTTGTTTGGTATGGTAAAATACTCCCCTTTCAGCAGGGCCATGTTCTCTTCATTCTTTTCCACGAGGCTAAGTAACTCTCCTCCTACTTTTCCACATAGCTAAAAAATCCCCTTCTTTTAGCATGGTCAAAATAGTCTCCCTCTTTTATTATGGATAAATAGTTTCCTTCTTTCACAAAGCTAAATAGTTTCCTTCTTTCAGCATAGCCAAAAAGTCTCCTTCTTTTAGTATAGATAAATAGTCTCCTTCTATCAGCAAAGCTAAATAGTTTCCTTCTTTCAGCATAGCTAAATAGTCTCCTTCTTTCAGCATAGCTAAATAGTCCCCTTCTTTCAGCATAGCCAAATATTCTCCTTCTTTCAGTATAGGTAAATAGTCTCCTTCTTTCAGCATAGCCAAATATTCTCCTTCTTTCAGCATAGCTAAATAGTCTCCTTCTTTTAGTATGGATAAATAGTCTCTTTCGTTCAGCAAAGCTAAATAGTTTCCTTCTTTCAGCATAGCCCAAAAGTCTCCTTCTTTCAGCATAGCTAAATAGTCTCCTTCTTTTATTATGGATAAATAGTCTCCTTCTTTCAGCAAAGCTAAATAGTTTCCTTCTTTCAGCATAGCTAAATAGTCCCCTTCTTTCAGCATAGCCAAATATTCTCCTTCTTTTAGTATGGATAAATAGTATCCTTCTTTCAGCAAAGCTAAATAGTCTCCTTCTTTCAGCATAGCTAAATAGTCCCCTTCTTTCAGCATAGCCAAATATTCTCCTTCTTTTAGTATGGATAAATAGTCTCCTTCTTTCAGCAAAGCTAAATAGTTTCCTTCTTTCAGCATAGCTAAATAGTCTCCTTCTTTCAGCAAAGCTAAATAGTCTCCTTCTATCAGCAAAGCTAAATAGTTTCCTTCTTTCAGCATAGCTAAATAGTCTCCTTCTTTCAGCATAGCCAAATATTCTCCTTCTTTCAGCATAGCTAAATAGTCTCCTTCTTTTAGTATGGATAAAAAGTCTTCTTCTTTCAGCAAAGCTAAATAGTTTCCTTCTTTCAGCAAGGCTAAATAGTCTCCTTCTTTCGGCATAGCCAAATAGTCTCCTTCTTTCAGCAAGGCTAAATAATCCCCTTCTGTTAGCATAGCTAAAAAGTCACCTTCTTTCAGCATTGTTAAATAGTCTCCTTCTGTCAGCATACGTAAATAGTCTCCTTCTTTCAGCAAAGCTAAATAGTTTCCTTCTTTCAGCAAAGCTGAATAGTCTCCTTCTTTCAGCAAAGCTAAATAGTCTCCTTCTTTCAGCAAAGCTAAATAGTCTCCTTCTTTCAGCAAGGCTAAATTGTCTCCTTCTTTCAGCATAGTTAAATAGTCTCCTTCTTTCAGCAAGGCCAAATAGTCTCCTACTTTCAGCATAGCTAAAAAGTCTCCTTCTTTCAGCATAGCCAAATAGTCTCCTTCTTTCAGCAAAGCTAAATAGTCTCCTTCTTTCAGCATTGCTAAATAGTCTCCTTCTTTCAGCAAGGCTAAATAGACTCCTTCAGTTAGCATAGCTAAATAGTCTCCTTCTTTCAGCATAGGTATATAGACTCCTTCTGTTAACATAGCCAAATAGTCTCCTTCTTTCAGCATAGGTATATAGTCTCCTTCTGTTAGCATAGCTAAATAATCTTCTTCTTTCAGCATTGTTGCTAAATGGTCTCCTTCTTTCAGCATAGCTAAATAGTCTTCTTCTTTTAGCATAGCTAAATAGTCTCCTTCTTTCAGCATAGGTAAATAGCCGCCATTTTTCAGCATAGCTAAATAGTCTCCTTCTGTTTGCATAGCTAAATAGTCACTTTCTTTCAGCATTGTTAGATATTGAACAAAATAAAAAGTGCGTTAAAAATATGACACTATTGTATTACCAAGAGAGTTGAGGTGGAAACCAAAGACGAAAACGGCATTGATGGTGCAAATAACATTGAATAATGTATAACGGAAGATACTTTCTGCTTGATGTCGTTAGGACAGAACCGATAAATACACGGATAGGGAATGGAATTAATCTGAATAATTGAAGTCCCTGTTTATGACTTCGTGGTTTACTACAGCAGTAGCAGGATGCAATGATGGGGGACATATTTAGATGTCTAACCATGTAATCATTGCTTGGGGGATGCAGGCAGAGTACACGTAGTTCAGTCAAACAATGTTTAACCCGTTGATATTTTGTTTCTAGGGGAAGACAGGAACTCGGAAAGAATCAAATCACCTCCTGGTGTATTTCCAACAAAGAAAAAACAGAGTTATACATCTGTTGTCAGAATAATGTCGAAATGATTTCTTAGATCCGGGTTTGAATTCAGCAAAAACCGTTTGTTTGCATCCCTATAGCAGAAATCGCATACGGTTGGATAGATAGATTAAGATTTTCAAATTTACAGGATATCGAAAACTTCGCACACGAGAACTCATACACAGTCAGTTTAGGCGAGACGGCTTCCGGGCTATTGCCTATGCTGCGAATACCATTGAGAATAAATGATATCACTCACCTGGGTTCAGACTTCAAGATTACAGACGTTACGTGACGTCCTTTCAGTGTGTCTTTGCCTTTAAAATATGCAGTCTTTTAAATTGGGCCCTTTATTCATTTTCTGATGTATATATTTTTTACTGATTTCATCTTAACATTTATCAAGTGCAGTCTGCAGAAAATTCCAAGTTACTTATCATAGACACCTCATTTTCATATTTGTGATGTATTTATTTTCTGTGTTGCAGATTTCAACAAGATAGGACGCTTCGTCATGGAAGGAAAACGATTGAGCCGGAAATAACTCACTACATCAGTGCATGGAAGCTACGTACTACTCCATAGGGAAAAACACCTTTAATCACTGTAATCTCGGAGTGTGTAATTGATTAATTAGTTTGAAGATTTGGGAAGTTGATTACAAATGACGAATGACTGTTGAGGCATAGCATGCCCATTGATATTCGATAATCTTGAGAAAGTTCGCAAGACTATTTCGCGTGCTAAGCCCAATCGGATCCTTTAGTACAAGATTGCCAGTCACAAAGGCTCGACATTCGCACAACGCCTTGCAGCCGTGGACGCGTTATTGATAAGACAAATGTTATGGGTGGTTTGAGATCACATTCATTACGGAATGACTGGCAGCGAGTATAATACGGAACCTACGCGCCGTGGATACAATCGGTGACTGAGCCAATTGTAGGCTAGACGCATGGGTATTCAACTACCTGTTACCTCTTCAGGGACGTTTGTATTGAGAAAAACGCGATTGTGTACATATCTAACAACGGGTCGTTCCGTGAATGGCAAAAGTGTATCGTTTGTGGAAAGTCCCACAATGGTGGCCTAGCAGGTGGACAAAGCCGTTGCTACTTGCTGTCTATGCTGGTCAATAAGTTTATAGAAATCAGTTCATATAAGTGGCAGAATGCGATCCAAAACGGGTATAGCCCCTCGCTTGGCGAGCACTCGCGATGTGTCTGGGAATCATGCCAATTCGCCATACCCCCAGTGGATGAAATCCTTAGAGGTGAAATACCAGAAGTTACATACGAAGATTATGCAAAGTACAAGTGTTAGCTCTGTCCGACAGTTGGCTGGACCTCGGTCCAAGAGGTCAGAGGCCAGCGTGTCCAGGCTGAGTAACAGAACTCGTAACTCTATACCGATCAGACGATCAGTTTGTAAAAGCAGTGTTGACATTGGCTTAGGGAGCATTGGAGCCGGGGTGAACGCCGGGGACGACTTCGAGGACGATGATAGTGACGACGACATTCTGAAGGTGCCCATGACACAGGATCCATGTGCTTCTAGGCGGGAGAATGTACCGGATGTCAAACCGTGGCGGGAAAGATCAGAGGTTGCAAAGACAGCAGACGAGATTTTAAAAGCGTCTGGTGTGAGGACGTGTGGAGTTGTGGATAACACGACCACGAACGCCATGAACTCTCAGGGTAAGAATGTTGGCCATGCGACCAACGTGGCTCAGTCAATGGATACTCTACTACCAACGCCACGAAATGTAAATACATCTGTAAGTAGAGTAAGTAACAAGACTTCTAGATCATGTCCCGCGGTTATACAATCTGCAAATGACTTCCCCAGACCATCGGGGCTGAGACAGCCATCTCGGCTACCTAGACCTACTAGACGAAAAAATTTAAAAGTGTTTTCACGTATGTCGTTAGAGGCACAATACGCTATAAATGAGACATTGAATGAAATGGGTGCTGAGAACTCTAGTCTAAAGCCAGCATCTGTAACTGGAGAGGATGGCCCAATAATAAATGACATTGACCCAAGCGTTCTCGCCAGTGGTGTGCTATCTACATGTGAAGTCGAGAATGGATCTTTAGACAGTGCAAGAAGTTGTGCATCTAGTACTACTACTACTGAGTTAATGGACTCTCGAGACAGAGGAGCACTAGGGGGAGACAAGTGTCTCTTTCCTCAGATAAGCCTCAAATCGAATATGTTACCTAAATCCTCTTCGGTTGAAACACTGAACAATGCAGAAGCGATGAGGATCCCGGGGGTGGGGAAGTATAATGTCATCAGGCGGGAGAGAACTTTTCAAATAACATTTGGTGACTTCGACATACGTTACAGGGACATTATCTCGTGCGACCGAAGGGGGTCTGAAACGCCCCCAGCAGAGATCCGTGAGAAAGCGATAGCCAAATGTACCCAATGGTTGGAGAAGTACATGCCTAGGTAATACATATATGGTAATATATAATTTAGCTCATATATGTACTTTTTTACCAAAGTGTCTTATATTTGCAAAAAAAACTCATAACAGGATTGTGATGCGGTTTCCGATTACACTACATTTCAAAATAGGTTGGGCAGGTAGACTTGAACATATATGCACGGTGTTGGATTATTAATGTGGAAGACACCAGTGTCTGGTATAGTCTTTCATGTGTTCTCTTTGTTTTATCACGAACAGTGAAATAGTAAAACAAAAGTGAGAATCGGCGCCTAAAACTATGGTCGGTAGGGTAATCGGAACCCAACAAGTTGTTTAGTCCTTACGTTTTCGGAGAATATTCGTTATCGTTACGTGTGCCTAGACGTATGGAAAACTTGAAAGTCCACACCATGGCTAAATACTGCTAACTTAACTTTTAATTCACCAACACGAAGGTCACGAAAGGTACAAGGAACCCTCCTTAGCTCGAACATCGTATACTCGAATGTATGTTAAGGTGAAACTTGGGTTATTGCTGGGACTGCTGAACTGATATATCGGACGTCCTTAGTGGTCACTACTCTATTTCACAGTCCCTGAACCATATTATTTTCCCTTTTGTCTCGTCCTTAACGAAGCACGTTTAGACATTCCACACATTCTGGGCCTCCAATCTCATCAGGGCCCCTTTTCATTTTAAATATAGTTGGTTGTTTCTATCAAAATTATACATTTTCAGAGCCTAAGCGTTCGTCTAAGTGTTCACAAGCATGCTATACATAGTCCTTTGACAATAAGGAGTTTCAGCCAGTGTCACTACTGTTATGTGGAACAGTGATAGCAACGCTGACTGGTTATTTTGTCATAAATACTCCTTCGTTATTTTTTCATAAAAAGATTTATTAAAAATGTATGGGAATTTAAGTTTTAAATTGAACATCATATAGGGACTGGTATTTATTATAGGGAGGGGGGGGGGGGGGGGGGGGGGGGTGGGGTGTGTGAAAGAATATGAAGGGGTGACAGAAAAATATGATACAGTCCTAAAGCTCCATCAACACCACCCCTATCCCACCCCCATTACATAATAAATGCCCAGCCTCTATTCTGTAATCCCCACGGGATCAAAATTCACATTAAACAAATCGTGTTTCACGAGAGGGATATTGGATTTCGTAAGGCCATATATCAAGGAATGAATGTTGCCTGAAGTGTGATTCCACCGTATCCCCTAAGGCTGCGGGTGTATACGAACTGTATTCTTACAGCGCATTGACGTAATTAGATATGTTACTTAAGGGTGTACACATATCAAATAAGTCCTGTTTAGCATGATTTAATGAAGCTTATCTTGGCAATAATCAGCTTAACGATGTAAGCTTTTAGTGGATTATCATAATCGCGTGTTTTTGACGAGACTTGTGGCAGCCATTGTAACTCACATATACCTTCGTATGTTCTGTGTATGGTTGCCATGACATCCTCCATATTTGGCATACAGCAACAGTTGAAAAGATCAGTCATTCGAATATGTTTTTTTTAAACTGCCAGTGTTTAAATATGATCCCGCTATTGCTGATAATTGAAAATATACTACTCAGTAGAAGTTAAGGACCCCGATTATATCATATAACTATAGTTAACCTGTCATGACATGATCCTTGACTTCTTTTGAGCAGTTGATGATGTTTTTGTTGATGGTTTTGTATATGTGTGCCGGTGAGGGATAGGATGCGAGACATTGTTATTGAATGTGTGATGTAAAATATTTACATAAATCTGTGATAAGTATGTGAATGAACGAGGATGGATTTGTTTGTTGGAATTTGTTTACAAAAAGCAAATGTGATACATTTTTATAAAAAAATAATTGTCAATATTGCAATATTTTGAAATAAACAAAACCACACCGGTCGCTTTTTATTCAATGAAAGTGTATTGTTTTTTGTGAGACGCTCCAACGTGTAATTGGATCTGGCAAGAAGGGATTAGGGAATTTTATGGCTCACCGGATCTGCATAATTTAAGAATAATGCAAAGTCTTTAGAAATTGTTCGGAAAGTAATCAGATGTGTTCATATGAATGTGAACTCGACTTTGTTCATTTCAACAAGTGTATGTTCGGGACGTATGACTACACTAAACGCATAGGTAAGGATAATTGTGTCAAATATGCTGATTAGAGGTTTTCATGAAGGATTTTTCTAATATTTGAACATGAGCAAGCCTTTGACTCAAACTGATTTATGTACTTGACCATGTGAACTTGCAAGTGTAAGAAACAAAGACAAAATGCGTTCCGCTGGAACAAGTCTGATCATTTTCACACCAATATTTCAAACTTTTAAATTTGACATTTCCAGTTGGCCCCTCTCTTACCGCATCCTTCGTTAATTTTGTCTGTTTGTGTAATATGATGATATACAGATAATATCACAGTCTTCTGACGCGCGCACTCCGAGATCTACTCCAAACTTTACGATTAACAAGGAAGTATTTTCTGGGTTTCTAAATTGACAGTACATTACATTTATTTTTTATTCGTCTATTTTTTATGAGCTGGCTGTCTTATCGTTTTTAATTCTTTTTATTATGTTTAAGCATTTTTTTACTGATGCCACAGGCTGACTTGAACCATCCATAATAGACAATTCAGATTGATGGTGTCACAGCTTGTTGCTAAATATGGTGTATCAAGAAGTACCTGACATATTACTAATACCCCAAATAATAAACCAACCCCATAAAACATACCTCACAAAAAATAAACAAAAACAAATATCATGTTTTGCCGAACTTACACCTAGTGAAGACATATTCCTTGGTCATGATTTCAACTGTTATATGTTGTTTTCATAAAGGCTATTTTTCCTGTTTTGAATGTTTCAGGTGTTATGGATTACCTTAACACAATTCTTTCAGGATACACAATAAACAATTCTGTTTCTTGCTGTAAACCCCAAAAGGTCAAGAAGTTTATTTTTCAAGTTTTCTGAACATTTTTTAAGAAACAACAACGTTTTAGTGAAACTGCTATAGTCTTTTGATCCGATCCCGTGTTGGACATCTGCATTGCAGGTTTACGTCGCATCTATGTTATCATCAACAACATTCTACAACTACTACAACGACGGTAATAATTATAATCAACATAACCAGGTACAATATCACCAACACCAACAACGGAGAAAACAGCAGCAATATGAACAGTGACAACAGGGTCACCGCTAGCAATATCAACACCCACAACGGAGTCAACACTGGTATTATGAACACCAACAACGGAGTCAACACTGGTATTATGAACACCAACAACGGAGTCAACACTGGTATTATGAACACCAACAACGGAGAAAACAGCAGCAATATGAACAGTGACAACAGGGTCACCACAGGTAATATCAACACCCACAACGGAGTCAACACTGGTATTATGAACACCAACAACGGAGAAAACAGCAGCACTATGAACAGTGACAACAGGGTCACCACTAGCAATATCAACACCAACAACGGAGTCAACACTAGTATCATGAACACCAACAACGGAGAAAACAGCAGCAGTATGAACAGTGACAACAGGGTCACCGCTAGCAATATCAACACCAACAACGGAGTCAACACTAGTATCATGAACACCAACAACGGAGAAAACAGCAGCACTATGAACAGTGACAACAGGGTCACCACAGGTAATATCAACACCCACAACGGAGTCAACACTAGTATCATGAACACCAACAACGGAGAAAACAGCAGCAATATGAACAGTGACAACAGGGTCACCACAGGTAATATCAACACCCACAACGGAGTCAACACTAGTATCATGAACACCAACAACGGAGAAAACAGCAGCAATATGAACAGTGACAACAGGGTCACCACAGGTAATATCAACACCCACAACGGAGTCAACACTAGTATCATGAACACCAACAACGGAGAAAACAGCAGCAGTATGAACAGTGACAACAGGGTCACCGCTAGCAATATCAACACCAACAACGGAGTCAACATTGGTATTATGAACACCAACAACGGAGAAAACAGCAGCAATATGAACAGTGACAACAGGGTCACCGCTAGCAATATCAACACCCACAACGGGGTCAACATTGGTATTATGAACACAAACAACGAAGAAAACAGCAGCAATATGAACAGTGACAACAGGGTCACCGCTAGCAATATCAACACCAACAACGGAGTCAACATTGGTATTATGAACACCAACAACGGAGAAAACAGCAGCAATATGAACAGTGACAACAGGGTCATCGCTAGCAATATCAACACCCACAACGGAGTCAACACTAGTATCATGAACACCAAATACGTGCAAACAACCGCAACAACACTAGTAACAAGGGTTAAACAACAGCAGAAATACCAAAAAACAACATAACAGTTCCGCGCAATAACCATAACGTATTTGAAAGATCTAACGCTGAAACTCAAATCTCTCTCACGACTGTGCGAGGACCACATTGCCCTCAACAAGGCCGTTACACACATACAGTTAACACTTTACGAGATTACCTTTTGAGAAATTGCAACAATTATGACAACAGTTACTGAAAAGTTTACTGCTATAGTCTTTTGTCATACAACATTTTGAAGACCATAAACATTCTGCATATAGCTATTACGGTAGCTGTGTCAATGGTTATTGTATCATAAACAGTGAAATGACTTTTAGCCCGCACTGCGACATAATGCCCGGCTTTGTTTGATTATTATAATTGAATTACAGAATGGGAACTGCCACAAACCCACTACTTGTTATCTTTTCGGTAGAATGACAATGTCAGTTTAGCCGTAAAGTGTAGGATTGCTCGTGGTAAATCGTTGTGTGTGTGTGTGTGTTTAAGTGTGTGTGTGTTTAAGTGTGTGTGTGTGTTTAAGTGTGTGTGTGTGTTTAAGTGTGTGTGTGTGTGTTTAAGTGTGTGTGTGTTTAAGTGTGTGTGTGTGTGTGTTAGTGTGTTAGTGTGTGTGTGTGTGTTAGTGTGTTAGTGTTAGTGTGTTAGTGTCTGTAAGTGTGTGTGTGTGTAAGTGTGTTTGTGTTTCACGCCACACTCAACAATATTTATATGTTTATTAGATATAATAAAGTCTGGACCGGTAAACCCGACGAATGATATTTTGAGCAACGATCCACTCATTCAAAACGCAAATATTTACTTTGTTCTGTGAAACACTACTCCGCGTGGTAGATTATGATCTAGAACTGTCTTCAGATCTCGATATGCTGGAACAGTCTGTCACATATTTTGATTGTGTGTTTCTTGTTTAACGCCCTGTCAACATTATTCCAGGAATATGACGTCGGCCTCTACATAGACGAGACAATTCAGTGATTTTATCGTTTTTTCTGCGATCAACCAAGTCAGCGAGTTCGACCACTCGATCTATGTAGTCGCCTCTTGCGACAAGCATGTGTTATGGGGACCTATAATTCTAACTGCAATTCACACTCGGGCAAAAAGAGGGAGGGGCGGACCTTCCCTCAGATAGTTATAATGATAATCACGCGTTTGAAATAGTATCTTTAATGACGTAACCATTAACAACATTGTGGCTTTCCTAAAGTGAGTATGATTTTACGCTGCTTTTAGCAATATTCCAGCAATATCAAGGCGGGGGATGCCAGAAATGGGGTTCACACATTGTACCCATGTCGGGAATCTAACCCGGGTCTTCGGTGTGACGAGCTAACGCTTTCACCTCTAGGCTATCCGACCACCTCCTTTTCTCAAGACTCGGGGCACACGGGTGGCCCAGTCGTCTAAGGCGCCGCGATTCGCTGTGCAGAGTTGTGTCCCTTGGGCATGCCAAAAACCTATGATTGTGGGTTCGAATCCCGGTTCGCCACGATTATGTTTCTCGGTTTATCAGCACCATACCCGTGCTCGTGGGTTTCACTGAAGTGGTAAACGTCTGAGACCTGCATCACTTCGGGCTTTCCTCACAAATGAAGCTGACACGCCGTGATATAACTGGAATACTGTTAAAAGCGGCGTTGAACCCAACTCACTCACTCACTCACTTTCTCCAAACTCACTGCCTGAAATTGTCATGGTTATGGTGACCCTCCCCCCATTCTACCCCTCCCCACACATTCACCCCCCACCTCCCACCCCAGTTCCAGTTCAAGTATCCAGTGGAAGCCTTGTTAATCGGTCCATACGTTCAGTAAAGCTGCTAAGTAGGTCATTAGCATATCCACAGACAGATACAATAAACGGGCTTCAAAGTCAGCTTGTTCTTTTTAGTAGTGATATCAATCATCAGAACTGAGCATTGTCAAAACAACAATAGAGGGAATCAATGACTTGTGCTAATGTTTCAGGACACAACGCTACCGCTATACCACTGGTTCTAGGGGATTATATACTTACTGTTGTCTTAAATACATGTACTCGGTCGCAGAGGGGTTAGACGAGAAGCTGATATCCAATACAGCTTGTACAAAGATAAGGAATACATATGTTACTGATTCTGCATGTTCCGATCCAAATATCAGACCCCCCTAACTGATGTCCTAGCATCTGACTCCAGTATCTGACCCTCGTACTTGATACACGTATCTGACCCCAGCATCTGACTCCAGTACCTGACCCTCGTACTTGATACACGTATCTGACCCCAGCATCTGACCCAAGTATCCGATCCCCCAGTACTTGTCCAAAGTATCTGACCCATGTATCTCCTCCCAGCATCTGACCCCAGTATCTGATCTCAGCATCTGACCCCAAAATCGGTTCTCAGTATCTAACCCAAGTATCTAGCCCTCAATAGTTGACACACGTGTCTGACCCTACTATCTGTTCCCTAGTAGCTGATCCACGCATCTGACCCCAGTATTTTATCCCAAAATCTGACCCCAGTATTGAATCCCCGTATCTGACTCATATGCATGATTCAAGAATCCCTACATTTTCCCTATAAATGGCTATCGGATGGTTAAATTTACATTTAAGTGTAGAAAATAACAAAGAGTATACGTACATGCAATAACAGAATATATATCCTTGTGTACTGACAGTGTATCTATATTTATGCAAGAACAGAGTATGTACGCACATGTATGTACAATAGTGTATATTCGAGTAAGAGTATAACATTTCATTTTTTATTACGTGTTTGTATCGTTATCTATCGTGTAGTTGTCCGATTTTTGACAACGAACGTTGCGACTACTTAATTTCGTTTATCCGACATACTGTTAATCCGACATAATCATATGCAACCAACGATGTCGGGTTAACGAGACTTAACTGTATGTACAATAATTTATATTCGAGTAAGAGTATGACAAAGTTTACATGTGTATGCATTTAAAGAATAACTACACGTATGCAATAACAGAGTATATATGTCAATGCATTACAAGAGTATATACGTTTAGACAATAACAGAGTATGTAGAATACATTATTTCATTTGAGGATTGACTGTGTATTTTTTTCGGTTCATTGAGGTATGAATCGAAAAAACCCGATGTGCAAACTGTAGCGGATTCATACAGTTTGCACAACGGTTTTTTCGATTCATACCTCAATGAACCGAAACAAATACACAGTCAATGCCTTTAATTAATTTACAATAGTTTAACCAAAAACAGTTAAATATATCAAAGCAGACAAAAATGACGAGACTGATAAACATTCCAGGTGTATGAGTACATACTGTGACGTGACATGAATCAGGTGATTGTTTAATTTATGTACATAACTTGACACGCCTACACAGTCAGTAGCCAATCAACGGAGAGTAGGGTGAAAAACAATGTTCATAGGACCTGTCAATTAAGGCAAGAGGCGAGAAGAACTGCAACAGTCAGACTGTAAGGAACCGGAAGAAATATGCCCAGAAGAAGGTGGCTGTTTCAAATGACATGGTCAGTTACCGCCAAATTCAAACATAACTTCCCTGTAAACGGGAAAACACAGTTGGAAAAATGCTGGTTAGAAATGAAACCCGAAGTCATGAATGTTGAACCGAGGCGAGCAAGCCTGCACGTTTGCTGTTTCATTCATCCTCGGCCTTCGGTTTCAAAAAGTAGTTTGGACAATGAATATGCATGAATGTCGCTAATTGGCATGACGATTCATGTGATACACGTGAGCAGAAAGGGAATTCCCTCGACTGTAATATTGGGATTCCCTGACATTCCGCAGTAATAGACGTAGTGCGCCTCGGTGGGCGTGGCTTATATTTTTACATTCATTGGGAAATGAATGGAATAACACGTGACCAATTCAGCTCATCAGAATGCAGGAATTTCAATGAACACAACGAAAATTTAATAATGTATTTAAAAAAATTATTGTTCGAAAGGCTAACAGCAATACAATGCTTTGCGTGCTTTGAATGTGCTTTCCTTGAGCGTTTCCCAGGAATCCAAACAGAGTGCTCTTAAAAGAGAGTAGACTGGTTTTAAGAAGTGTTCTCTCAGTACCACCCACTTGCACACAGTCATTACTAACCATGGTTGCAATCAATAGTCAAAACACCAGAGTAGGAACCACGGAACTATGATGGCGTGACAACGGCGTTTGTCACGAAAGCTCTGTTAGGAAACGATAAGACCGAAGCATGTAACCAACCGCACCCGAAGAAAACCCTCCAGGATTACCAGTCCCTTTATGTAATCTGTATGATGTGTTGGTTAACGTTGATGAATTACCCTTCATTAATGATGGGATTGATGCTGATTGCATTGTTTCAGTAGAAATGCATAGAGTATCGAGGATTTAAGATTGAAATCTTCCCACACGCTATTTCCTCATTTACGATGAGCGCGTTATCGTAACGTTTGGGGGCACTGGTGGCCCAGTCGTCTAAGGCGCCGCGATTCGCTGGGCAGAGTTGCGTCCCTTGGGCACGCCAGAAACATATGATTGTGGGTTCGAATTCCGGTTCGCCCCGATTATGTTTCTAGGTTTGTCAGCACCATACCCGTGCTCGTTTCGCCGAAGTGGTAAACGTCTTAGACCTGCATCACTTCGGGTTTTCCTGCCACATTAAGCTGATCTTTCTTTTCGAAACTCTAGAATGAATATTAGAACCTACCGATGACCTTGATCTTTATAGAATGAATATTTGATCCTACCGATGACCTTGATCTTTATAGAATGAATATTTGAACCTACCGACGACCTTGATGTTCACATAGTGAATGTTTAAACCTTTGGATGATCTTGACGTTCTTAGTGTTCATGGTTGACCTTGGTGGTCTTAGGAACCTTCGATTACCTTGATGTTCATAAAGTGAATATATGAAACTTTCGATGACGTAATAATGTTACTATTGTGTTTAAATAAACTTCGAAGATGTATCATTCCATAATAAAAGAGAAAAGTTCGAGAGAGAGCAATACTGTATTCCAGCAACTCCTGCCGC